CCCCCCCCTTTTTCCCCCCGTTTTTTTTAAAAAAAAAAAAAGGAAATTTAAAAATTTTAAAATTTTCCCTTTTTTTTTTTTAAAAAAATTTAATTAAAAAAAATTAAAAAAAAGGGGGGGAGGGGAAAAAAAAGGGGGGGGGGGGGGGGACCGGGGTTTTTTAAAAAAAAAAAATTTTTTTTTAAAAATTTTTTGGTTTTGTTTTTTTTAAAAAAAAATTTTTTTTAAAGGGGGGGGGCAAATTGGAGGTTTTTAAAGGGGGTTTTGGGGGGTTTAAAAGGGAAATTTTTTAAATTTAACCCGGGGAAAAAAGGGGAAAAAAAAAAAACCCCCCCCTTTTTGGTGTCCCTTTTTTGGTTTTTTTTTTTGGGGGGTTTTAAAAAAAAAAAAAAATTTGGGAAAATAAAAAAAAAAAATTTAATTTTTTTTTGGGGGGGGAATTTTTCTTTTGGGGGGGGGAAAAAAAAGGGGGGGAAAAAAAGGGGGGGAAAAAAAAAAAAAAAAAAGGGGTTTAAAAAAAAAGTTTGGGGGAAAATTTTTAAAAAAAAAATGGGAATTTTAAAAAAAATTTTTTTTTTAAAATTTTTTAAAAAAATTTTTTTAAAATTTTTTTTAAAAAAAATTTTTTGGTTTTTTAAAAAAAAATTTTTTTTGGGGAAAAAAATTTGGGAAAAAAATTTTTTTTATGGGGTTTTTTGGGGGGGGGGGGGTTTGGGGGGGGGGGAGGGGGGGGCCCTTTTTTTTGGGGGTTTTTTTTAAAAATTTTTTTTTAAGGAAAAAACCCCCTTTTTTAAAATTTTGGGGGGTTTTTTTTTAAAAAAAGGGGAAAAAAAAGGGTTTTTAAAAAATTTTTTTTTTCCCCCTTTTTTGGGGGGGGTTTTTTTTTTTTTCGGGGGGGGGTTTTAAAAAAAATTTTTTTTTTTAATTAAAAAAAAAAAGGTTTTTAAAAAATTTTTTTTTTAAAAAAATAAATTTTTGGGGTTTTTTTTTTCCCCCCGGGGGGGGGTTTTTTTAAAAAAGGCCCCCTTAAAAAATTTTTAAAATTTAAAAAAAAAAAATTTTTTTTTTTAAAAAAAAAAAGGGGGGGGGGGGGTTTTTTTTTTTTTTTTTTTGGGGAAAAAAAATTTTTTTAAAAAAAAAATTAAATTTTTGGGGGAAAAAAAAAATCCCCAAAAAAGCCCCTGAACCCAAAAAAAATTTTTTTTTTTTTTGGGTTTTTTTAAATTAAAAAAAAAAACCCAAAAAAAATTTTTTAAAAAATTTTTTTTTAAAAAAAAGGGGTTTTTTTTAAAAAAATTTATTTTTAATTTTTTAAAAAAATTTTTCCCCCCCAAAAATTGTAACTTTTACAAAGAAATAAACCTTTATCTTTATCTTATGCCCACATTTATTATTCCGGGTCTAATTTTTCCCTGGATTTCAAACATTTTGTATGGCTTTATTAACATATTAAGTAAAGTGCAATTAACAAAGGCTTCTAAACCATGTGGTGGTGCCAAGAGAAAATGTGTGTTCTCAGTGTTAAGAAACTTGAATTAATAAAGAAGGTTGAGTTTGGCATCTCCGTGTCATGGGAATGTGAAATCTACATCTTCTCAATTATCTAAGTCTTTTCAGCCCTCTACATTTCAGCCATCTACATTATTTTCACTAGAAGAGCTCTACAGCTCCTCTGACTAAATTTATACATTATTGTTATTGCCTTACTAATCTTAAGTCAGTCTTAAGTTTGCCCAAAATGCTCTGCATATAAAGAAGCCTTCGGCATGTACACCCAAATTTCATTCTCCTTTGTACAACCACTGTATCATGCTGAAATAAAATATTATTACTATTATTATTATTCTGAGTCATCACTGTCAATAACAGCAGTTTACATCTCATCTCTCCACCATGAAAAAGTAAAATTACTGCAAATTACATAGAGTACTATAAAGTTACTGCATAGTACAATACTGTACTAAGTACTATAGGTTATAATACTTGTATTCTTATGGTCTGGTTGTCTTCTGCATCAGCAAACTAAGTCCACTACTTCAAAAAACAATTGGACAATCATGAAATATTAATTTTATAACTTAGGGTTGCGGATATTATCATACACCCCATTAGTTTCTTAATGAGAGGCTTTACTGTATTCTTGGTATTGCCGAGAAAGAGTTTTGCCTGGTATACTGGATAATAATATTAATTTTGATCAGGACAATGTTAACAGGAGATTTAAATCAGGATGAACAGCAGCATCATGAACTAAGATGTAGGATATGTAACAATGGAGAAGGATGACAGAGAGCTATCAGAAATTGAGCATTAGTAGTATAATAAATTAAGAGAAAAAATACAAAGTAATTTACTAATATTCATATTATAAACATAGTCAAGCATAGTGGCCCCTTGAGTTATGATGGTCATAAGTTACAATAATTTTGAGTTATGATTAATCCTCGTAAGAGAATTTAGTCTTGAGTTACGATGAAAATTTGTGATACAATACACGTAGCCAACACCACTTCTCTGCTTCAGCCTATGGACCAGAAAGTGATTGTGAATTTCAAGATTTACATCAAGATGCTTGTGAAGTGCTTTGCAAAGACTTCACTAGACGGTGCCATCAGCCTCAATGCATTCTGAAAGACTAAATTTAACTGACTCCCTGAGCTTTTGATGACAATGTTTTATCTTATGTTAAGAGCCTCAGAAGAAAGTAAAAGAAACACACAACTCTGGACAGTTCTTTCAAGAAGCTGCAGTTGGAAGAAACTTCTTGCAACCAGTAATTTCCTCTTCATCCTCTCCCCCACCACCAACCAGTAACTTCCTCTTCATCCTCTCCCCCACCACCAACCAGTAACTTCCTCTCCACCCTCTCCCCCACCACCAAGCTGTAACTTCCTCTCCACCCTCTCCCCCACCACCAACCGTAACTCCTCTCCACCCTCTCCCCCACACCAACCAGTAACTTCCTCTCCACCCTCTCCCCCACCACCAAGCTGTAACTTCCTCTCCACCCTCTCCCCCACCACCACACCACCAACTCTTCAAGTCCAAGGTACAATAAAAGTTGTACATGATATACCTTTGATGAGTTACGAGAGGTCTTCTACTCCCAGAGCATGGCCATGGGCCAGGCTCGTCTGGTGCTAGCCTGGTCAACCAGGCTGATGCTGCTGGAGGCCTGCTGCCCCACATATCCATCACAGCCTGGTTGATCTGGCACCTGGTTAAGATACTTGTCCAGTTTCCTCTTGAAGATTTCTACACTTGTCCCAACAGAGTTTTTGATATCTTCTGGTAAGATGTTGAATAGTCTGGGGTCACGGATGTTTATGGTATTCCCTTAGTAAGTAAGTGAGTTTATTCAGGTATACACAAATACAGTTACATAGAATTATCATACATAGCAGCATATGTGTAGAGAACCTAGGATAACCCAAAAAAGGCAGACAGAGTGACTTATTGTGTCCACTGCACACCTGCTTTAAAATGGTGTTACAGTAGGGCCTTATGGCATTCTGCTAATAGAGACATTTCAAATTATGACCAAAACTCACTATACGGCTCTCCCCACCTGACTTTGTAATACGGTCACCGTGCCCCACCTGGTTTGTTTACATTCTCCGTGAGCACCAAATCTCTCCATTACGTCTGGAAACTTTCCAAACTTTCAAGTGTTTTAAAGTTATTTCACATAGTATGTATATACTGTACAGTGGTACCCCGAGTTTCGAACTTTCTTCGTTCCAGAAGGCTGTTCAAGTGCCGTTACCGAATGAATTTGTACCCATAAGGAATAATGTAAATTAGATTAGTCCATTTCAGATCCCCAAAAATACACTTACAAAAGCACTTACAATAATGTACATACTTACATAATTTGTTGAGTTGGGAGCAGTTGGAAACTCGGGGTACCACTGTACTCTGATAATTATACTTATGTGTAGCTTTTTTCTTTTTATTAACAGGGTGTGGCATGCAAAGAGTACGTAACCTTTATTTGGCGCATGTACACACCCTCATTTACCACTCTCCTGTCTGCCCTTGTCATTCCCATTCTAGAGCTGGTTGAAGCATGGTCTGCTCTCTAGTGGCTTCTATTCTGCCTTGCTTACCATGGAGTGCACTAATACCTATTGCTGTACATAGTGTACATACTTCTGTTCTAAATTGGTGAAGGATAATATAAGTCAAAAGTTTTCTGCTGTGTTTATTTTGCTGTTGTCCAGAGGGCTGAGGAAGGGTTGTTGAGGTGGTTTGGACATGTAGAGAGAATGGAGTGAAACAGAGTGACTTCAAGAGTGTATCAGTCTGTAGTGGAAGGAAGGCGGTGTAGCAGTCGGCCTAGGAAAGGTTGGAGGGAGGGGGTAAAGGAGGTTTTGTGTGCGAGGGGCTTGGATTTCCAGCAGGCATGCGTGAGCGTGTTTGATAGGAGTGAATGGAGACAAATGGTTTTTAATACTTGACGTGCTGTTGGAGTGTGAGCAAAGTAACACTTATGAAGGGGTTCAGGGAAACTGGCAGGCTGGACTTGAGTCCTCGAGATGGGAAGTACAGTGCCTGCACTCTGAAGGAGGGGTGTTAATGTTGCAGTTTAAAAACTGTAGTGTAAAGCACCCTTCTGGCAAGACAGTGATGGAGTGAATGATGGTGAAAGTTTTTCTTTTTCGGGCCACCCTGCCTTGGTGGGAATCGGCCAGTGTGATAATAATAATAAATATAGTTCATGAAGTAGTCAGCCTGTGAAAGTCGTTCACCACAAGGGATGTAGGAGGCTTGATTCTCCATCTACAATCATGGCCCTGACCAGTCAGGCATGAAGTGTTCTGTATGAATTAAGGAAGAAGAGATGCCAAAAGGATACTGAAAAGTTCTTTTTCAAAGGGTGATAGAACAACAGTGTGGGTTACAAGGCAGAGAGAGGTAGTACCTTATGTGCTACCAACAACTGACAAACTTAAAAATCTTTGTGACTCAATAAATATATAAGTAAAAGCTACACTCACCTTCCCTTCTTTCTTGTTCTTCAATAGCGTCCAGAGTCGTCTCCTAGAATAGGCATCAACCCCAGCTGTTGGCTCGTCAAGGAAAACTATCTTTGGGTCTCCAATAAGAGCAATACCAATTGACAGTTTTCTTTTCTGGCCACCTAGAAATATAGAGCACTCATTTCACATAACATATACATACAGCAATCACTGAAATATAAATAAGTATTCAACAAAATTATATGAGAATTAAATTTTTTAAATAAAGGAAACTAAAACTCTAGATAGACCATTCGACCTTCATCATACGAAGGATTCAAGGAAAATGAGGAGACCAAAAGTAGATACTATTTTGGCATAATTCAGCTGTTATTATAATTATCATTGTCTTCAAGAGGTGTGTTGATGCTGGCAAGAGGTTCTTGATCCAAGAAACTGGAAGGAAGGGAACAACGAGTGATGTTCCATGAAGAAGTGTTAGAATAAGTGCATGTGATGAGAGGGGCTCCACAGGGATCAGTACTAGGGCTGGTGCTGTTTCTTGTATATATGAATGACATGACAAAAGAGAGTCAAAGATATTCTTGTCCACAGATGACATAAATCTAATGAGAAGAATACAAGCAGGTGTGGACCAGGTAAATCTACAAATGGATCTGGACAGGCTGCAGGTCTTGTCTGACAAATGGCTCCTGGACTTTAACCCCCAGCAATTCAAAGTTATGGAGTTTGGGAAGGGCAAAGAAGACTGAAGATGGCGTACAAGCACAGGGAACAAAGACTGCAAACATCAATCAAGGAGAAGGACCTTGTGGTGAGCATCATACTGAGCATATCACCTGAGGTGCACATCAACCAAATACCATGGAACCTCGGTTTTCGTATGCCCTGGTCTTCGTAGGATTCGACCCTTTTCATTGAAATTTTGTCCCAGTTTTCGTACATCTGCTAAGTTTTCGTAGAGGTGACAATGGTCCACTGTACCAAACACGTTCACCTGCCCGCGTCCACACAAAGCATTCCATGCATTCTGACTCAGTCTGGCTTTGTTTCTCATTGAGTGAGCATTACCCCACACATTCATCTGAAACATTTCGCAATAATCCATTGATTTTGTGCTTGTTCATTGATTGCGACTGCTGAATAAGCCACCATGGGACCAAAGAAAGCTCTGAGTGCCAGCCCTTTGATAAAGGTGAGAAACACAATAGAATTCAAGAGAGAATGTGCCTTCTTCATTGTTTAACCCTTTCAGATTTTCCGACATACTAGTTTATTCTCTATAATGGTTACAATGTGGGGTTTACAGGTTTTGGGTATTTTGTGGTTTACATGTTATAAAATACTAATTACAGAGGGGGCCACTAGGACACCTAGCATGGCTAGGCATTTCGAGCAGACTTAGATTAATTCTTAACATTAAATCCTTACATATTATGGTATTAAGGCTAAGTGACTACATCATAATTTTTGAGTTTAGCAGTGTGAATGCTTTTGTTTTGGCACAATACAAGGTGTCTATATTTGAGTAAAATAGGCAAACTTATGACTAGTTAGGATTTATTATTTTAAGATTAAGATTAGTATTTCTGGGTTTATAGTCAGTGGGTGAGTGAGTGTAATTTTGAACCACCAGGTGGTTATCATGTAGTTAGTTGTCGGGGTGGATCAGGGAGATAAGATATTTTCTAACTGTAGTTTTGAAAGTGATGAATGTGTCTCCAGTTCTAGAGTTTTCAGGTAGGGTGTTGCAGGGTTATTGACGTACTAGTATGCCTAAATTCTAGTGCCTTCAAATCTAGCAAGAGAAAGCTGGTAGGCCTACATATGAAAGAATGGGTCTATGTGGTCAGTGCGCAGTATAAAAAAAATCCTGCAGCGCAGTATAAAAAAATCCTGCAGCACACAGTGCATAATGAGAAAAAAAAAACTTTGACCGTGTTTTTGGTTTAAAAAGGCGACTTTGCAGTGTATTTTCGTATGGTATTTATGGTTGTATTCTAGTTTTCCTGGTCTCATTTTATAGAATGAAAGACATATTACAGAAATTGAGATGATTTTGATTGGTTTCACAATGAAAAGTACCTTGAAATTGAGCTCAAATTAGCAGAAATGTTCGATTTTTGCCAAAGTTCAAAAGTAAACAAATCATGCCACACGTCCCATACACGTCAACTGGTGAGTCTAATATTCTTTCACAAGTGCGCTGATATTATTTGTACCATTTCTACAATAATGCAGTAGTCTGCATAACAGTAAATCTTCTATTTTTTGTGAGAACAAAAATTCAAAGTGGAAAGCAAAAGAAATGTAAGAGGGGCCTGGGGACGTGACTAATGAACAGAGGAAATATTATTTTAGTGACAGGAATGTCTGTCTTGTTTATTCTGGACCCTATTTGGAAATTGGCATCTTTTGAAATTTGTCTGAAATTGGCAAAACTGCTAATTTCTGACCACTTTATTGGATAGTTGAAATCGGTAAATGGGTGGTTTCTTGTACTCATTCGATAGAAAAAGTGGAGTTATAGCAAAATAATTATGAATTTTGTCGACTAGTACATTGGAATTGGATAAAAATAGGGCTCAAAATGGGCGAAATCACCGATGTGTAAACATCGTCGAGACCGCTAACTTCGTGAGAGCATAATTCCATAAGTTTTCCATCAACTTTCATACTTTTGGTGCCATTATGATCAGGACAAGATTCTCTATCTTTTCATAAGAAAAAAAAAAATTTTTCCCCGAAAAATTTTTGACTCTGAGAACAAGTTTAGGAGAGGGCCTCTCGACCCTGAAAGGGTTAAGGATATGTGTGTGTAAAGTGGAATGAATTGCAAAGTTTTGTGGAGAAATATCACCCTAACAAAGCTGTTGCAACCCATGTCTGCAACATGTTCAATAACAATGCCTTGTCTCATTTTAGGCAAATCTTAAAGAGATGCCAGAAACAGAGCTCTCTGGACAGATGTTTTGTGCGACAGGGGTCCAGTGACTCTCAAGCTGGTCCTAGAGCCAGGAAAAGACAAAGAAGGGAAGTAACCCCAGATAGGGCCTTGATACCTGAAGTCCTTATGGACAGGGATTCCCCTTCCAAACGATAACCCTTCCTCTTCCCTCTCCCCTCCTCACCATCTTCCATACGCCAACAAGAGTCTTCAATAAAGGCAAAAGTGATGCTAAATGTTCATTTATCCATTTCATTAGTCATTTATATTTATTTCTCAGTGTTGTCTGTTGGCAAAACTATAGTTATTCTCTATAAAATGTATTTTTTGTTAATATTTTTGGGTGTCTGGAATGGAATAATTGGATTTACATTATTTCTTATGGGAAATATTGCTTCAGTTTTCGTACAATTCAGTTTTCGTCAGACTTTCTGGAACGAATTAATCACGAAAACCGAGGTTCCACTGTAACAGCTGCAGCAAATGCATGTCTTGTAAATCTAAGATTAGCTTTTCAACATCTAAGCAAGGAGTCATTCATAGCACTATACACCTCGCATTTTTTTTTTTTTTTTTAACAAGTTGGCCATCTCCCACTGAGGCAGGGTGACCCAAAAAGAAAGAAAATCCCCAAAAAGAAAATACTTTCATCATTCAACACTTTCACCTCACTCACACATAATCAGTTTTTGCAGAGGTGCTCAGAACACAACAGCTTAGAAGCATATACAGGTCTCCCTCAACATTCGCATTTTCAACTTTCGCGCACTTCACACATTCGCGAATTACCAACTGCCAAATTCCCAGCCTCCAAATTCCCAGCCGCCAAATCATATTTAACCCCTTCAGGGTGCAAGGCCAAAATCTGAAGTGGTGCTCTAGTGTCCAAGAAATTTTGAAAAAAAAAAAAAAAAAAAAAAAAAAAAAAAAAATTATTTTTTCTTACAGAATTAAAGAGCATATTTTTGTGAAGGTAATAAGACAAAAAAAAATTCTGATTAGTACTTACCGAGATACAGTGCCGAGAAGTTTGTCCAAAATGACCTGGTGGCGGCAACATCGACAATTTCCACATATGCACATTACTTTATTTAGCAATTTTTGTAGTTTTTTTTTCTTTTCCAATTGTTTTCTTTTCCTACTAACATTTGGGGCCTGAGAGACCAATACTGTATATAATGTATATATATAAACTCACTGTATTGAACACAATAACCGCACTAAACATTCAACATTCCCGGCAGCGGCAACATCGACTTCCAAGCTCCGTACTTTTCTCCAACTATCAGAGCTACTAATGCTCCTATGATGACCTAGTTACAAGCAAAACTGCACTACCCAACGTAGCACCCAGAATGACCAAAGATTACCAACAGTGAAACCTACAAATCGAAAATAATAGAGATCAAAGGAAGACTGCCCACAAACTGAAAGCAACACCCCGCTGCCAGCCGAACAACATAACCCTAAGCTTTGTATAACTACAACTTCTTCTTAACTACAACAATTCCTGTAGTATTATGAGGCGCAATCTAAGAGGAAACAGCACCAAGGCCAGCAAGAAAACACCGAAAAATCAACTATTCAACAAGTGTAGCCAGGAGGACGCCGGCCCAGCAACCACCCCACTCACCACCGCTCAAGGCGACACCACAACAATAACAACAAACATGGCTGCCACCAGCCCATCCTCCCCTCTCTTCCCCGGATTCAACCTACCAAGCAGTCTCTCAGGAATGACCAACGATCCAGATACCCTAAAGACATGCATCTCCAACTTAGTTATTGAAAATATGAATCTTCGAGAGACGCTAACAAAACAAGACACCAGGATGACACAACTCGAGAACAAAATCCTCAGTCTTGAACAAAGTTATCAACACCAGGAATGACTAACTTGTGACAAGACCATCCAAACAGTCATAGATAGCCATACCCAACAAATAATATCTCTTAATACAAAGGTTGAAGAAGCAGTAAAAGAATGGAAGAAGCAACATTAGATAACCAGTTCAGTGACTACTTTGCTCTCCAAGAAGATAAAACTGAACAAGATAAACTATCGGATGCAGTAATAGTTAAACAGTCCACTTTTTCCCAGTGATATGAACCAAACAAACAGTAAAGAAATTACTCTGCAGATCATAAGGACCAAACAGTGTTATTGTACCAGAGTCTGAAATAAAAGAAGCCAGGTTACTAGGATCCCATGGT